TGCTAGATCTAGCATAAAGTGCTAGACCTAGCATAAAGTGCTAGACCTAGCATAAAGTGCTAGATCTAGCATAAAGTGCTAGACCTAGCATAAAGTGCTAGACCTAGCATAAAGTGCTAGACCTAGCATAAAGTGCTAGACCTAGCATAAAGTGCTAGATCTAGCATAAAGTGCTAGATCTAGCATAAAGAGCTAGACCTAGCATAAAGAGCTAGACGTAGCATAAAGTGCTAGACCTAGCATAAAGAGCTAGACCTAGCATAAAGTGCTAGACCTAGCATAAAGGTCTAGCACTTTATGCTAGACCCCCCCCCCCCCTCTGTACCAGAAGAGACCATTTACCGCGCCTGTGAGCGCCGTGGTATGAAACATAAGGCATGCCCGAGATATCTCATTAATGAGATATCCATAGGGCGTGCGTTTCCTCACTGTAATTGGTTGTGTTATCTGGTTATCGTGGTTGGTGGCTCTGGCTTTGGCTCCGTGTTTCCAACCCCCTGTGTTCGGTTACTCTGACCGCGTGGGTTTTGATCGAGCCGGAACCGTACCAACCCAACCAACCTACTTAACCTATCGAGGTTGATGTGTATAAAATTATGTCAATGTTACGGCGTTTTAATATTGACTAATATGTCGTATTTGTTTATGAATTGGTTTATGTTTATACTCCTGTCTCTCTCTCTCTCTCTCTCTCTCTCTCTCTCTCTCTCTCTCTCTCTCTCTCTCTCTCTCTCTCTCTCTCTCTCTCTCTCTCTCTCTCTCTCTCTTTCTCTCTCTTCTCTCTCTTTCTCTCTCTCTCTCTCTCTCTCTCTCTCTCTCTCTCTCTCTCTCTCTCTCTCTCTCTCTCTCTCTCTCTCTCTCTCTCTCTCTCTCTCTCTCTCTCTCTCTCTCTCTCTCTCTCTCTCTCTCTCTCTCTCTCTCTCTCTCTCTCTCTCTCTCTCTCTCTCTCTCTCTCTCTCTCTCTCTCTCTCTCTTTCTCTCTCTCTCTGTCTCCACTCTTCCTCCCTCCCTCCCCTCTCTCTCTCTCTCTCTTTCTCTCTGTCTGTCTCTCTCTCTTCTCTCCTCTCCTCTCCCCCTCTTTAACCCCCTCTTTCTCCCCCTCTTTGTCCCCCTCTCTCTCCCCCTCTCTCTCTCCCCCTCTCTCTCCCCCTCTCTCTCCCCTCTCTCTCTCCCCCCTCTTTCTCCCCCTCTTTCTCCCCACTCCTCCTTCCCTCCCTCTCACCCCACCCCACACCTCTCTCCACAGGAAGCAGGTCACTGGAGAGTATAATGAGGCAGTTTATCTCTTTATGACCAAAGACGAGGGGAACATTATACGCGTGAGGGCCTCTGGCACGACCCCTCAGAGGTCAGGGCTGTGAGGGAGGGGGGCCCTGGCCCTACACTCTACACATCTAGGGTGTAAGGGTGTACACACCTGAGGTTGATAACTCCCGAGTTAGGCAAGGGATGTGTGAGAGTGTGGCAGGGAGGTTTGTTATGCTCTCTCCACTAACGACAGGCACTGGTTGGCACTCCTGGGGTTGTAGAGGGCGCTGGTTGGCACTCCTTGGAGTGTACAGGGTGCTGGTTGGCACTCCTTGGAGTGTACAGGGTGGTGGTTGGCACTCCTTGGAGTGTACAGGGTGGTGGTTGGCACTCCTTGGAGTGTACAGGGTGCTGGTTGGCACTCCTTGGAGTGTACAGGGTGCTGGTTGGCACTCCTTGGAGTGTACAGGGTGCTGGTTGGCACTCCTTGGAGTGTACAGGGTGCTGGTTGGCACTCCTTGGAGTGTGCAGGGTGCTGGTTGGCACTCCTTGGAGTGTGCAGGGTGCTGGTTGGCACTCCTTGGAGTGTACAGGGTGCTGGTTGGCACTCCTTGGAGTGTACAGGGTGCTGGTTGGCACTCCTTGGAGTGTACAGGGTGTTGGTTGGCACTCCTTGGAGTGTACAGGGTGTTGGTTGGCACTCCTTGGAGTATACAGGGTGCTGGTTGGCACTCCTTGGAGTGTACAGGGTGCTGGTTGGCACTCCTTGGAGTGTACAGGGTGCTGGTTGGCACTCCTTGGAGTGTACAGGGTGCTGGTTGGCACTCCTTGGAGTGTACAGGGTGCTGGTTGGCACTCCTTGGAGTGTACAGGGTGCTGGTTGGCACTCCTTGGAGTGTACAGGGTGCTGGTTGGCACTCCTTGGAGTGTACAGGGTGCTGGTTGGCACTCCTGGGGGTGTAGAGGGTGCTGGTTGGCACTCCTGGGGGTGTAGAGGGTGCTGGTTGGCACTCCTGGGGGTGTAGAGGGTGCTGGTTGGCACTCCTGGGGGGGGTACAGGTCGCTGGTTGGCACTCCTGGGGGTGTAGAGGGTGCTGGTTGGCACTCCTGGGGGGGGGGTGCTACAGGTCGCTGGTTGGCACTCCTGGGGTGTGGAGAGTGCTGGCTGGCATCACTCATGCTCACTGTGTTACACTGGCACTATTTAGCTTTATCTAACGTCATCTGGTGTTTAATGGTACACTCTGGCACCCCATGTGTCTGCCAGTGTCTGGGGGGGGGAGGAGGAGGAGGAGGAGGAAGAGCAGGAGGAGGAAGGGGAGGAGGAGGAGGAGGAAGAGGAGGAGGAGGAGGAGGAGGAGGAGGAGGAGGAGGAGGAGGAGGAGGAGGAAGAAGAAGAGGAGGAGGAAGAGCAGGAAGAAGAGGAGGAGGAAGAGCAGGAAGAAGAGGAGGAGGAAGAGCAGGAAGAAGAGGAGGAAGAGCAGCAGGAGGAGGAGGAGTAGAAAGAGCAGGAGGAGGAAGAGGAGGAGCAGGAGGAGGAAGAAGAGGGGCAGGAGGAGGAGGCAGAAGAAGAAGAGGAGGCAGAAGAGGAAGAGGAGGCAGAAGAGGAAGAGGAGGCAGAAGAGAAACATGAGGCAGAAGAGGAACAGGAGAAGGAAGAAGAGGAGGAGGAGGAGGAGGAGGCGGCAGAAGGGGGGGGGGGCGTGTACCTCCCCTACACAGTATACATCACAGAGCCAAGACGACCATCGCTCAAACGACGTGCTTCTCTCTAATCACCTTCCTTGAGAGTAGTTACTAACGAGGTGTTTGTTAACGCTGTCATCACACCCTGCTGATAACCACTTGCTTTTATATACTTCTTACAGTCGTTACCATACATATATAACCATTCTCGCTTATCTCTCTTATCATCTCTCTTATCATTCTCTCTTATCTTACACCGACAGGGTTATTAATCTGTTCTTCTTGAGGTTATCTTGAGATGATTTCGGGGCTTAGCGTCCCCCACGGCCCGGTCCTCGACCAGGGCGTCTTTTTGTTACACACCCCCAGGAAGCAGCCCGTAGCAGCTGTCTAACTCCCAGGTACCTATTTGCTGCTAGGTAACAGGGTCATCAGGGTGAAAGAAACATTTTGCCCATTTGTCTCCGCCTCCACCGGGGATCGAACCTGGAACCTCAGGACTACGAATCTGAAACGCTGTCCACTCAGCTAGGCGTCAGGCTTCTACACAACACAGTGGGTTAGTGAACACTCACAGTGCAAGAGAGGGGAGAAAAAGAGCTCTCTACTCTGTAAAGAGCTCCCCTCTTAAAGACCTGTAGAGTCTACAGGTCTACATAAGACCTGCGCGCAGACCTGCGGACACCAATAGTCTGCCTGGTCAGAATGTGAACCTGGGTTAAGACCAGCTTATAATTCATCTCAAAATGTATTAGTGAAATCATTTAATTGCATGTAATATCATTAGCATTAATAATTACAGTATCCAATTGCCTACTTTACGGCGCTAAATGTGTTAATTTGTATATGTCCTGGCCCTCCTGCGTCGATGTTGTCTATGTATCTTTGTACTGTTAAACCTGGTGGATACCTGGTTGATGGGGTTCTGGGAGTTCTTCTACTCCCCAAGCCCGGCCCGAGGCCAGGCTTGACTTGTGAGAGTTTGGTCCACCAGGCTGTTGCTTGGAGCGGCCCGAGGCCAGGCTTGACTTGTGAGAGTTTGGTCCCTCAGGCTGTTGCTTGGAGCGGCCCGCAGGCCAGGCTTGACTTGTGAGAGTTTGGTCCACCAGGCTGTTGCTTGGAGCGGCCCGAGGCCAGGCTTGACTTGTGAGAGTTTGGTCCCTCAGGCTGTTGCTTGGAGCGGCCCGAGGCCAGGCTTGACTTGTGAGAGTTTGGTCCCTCAGGCTGTTGCTTGGAGCGGCCCGAGGCCAGGCTTGACTTGTGAGAGTTTGGTCCACCAGGCTGTTGCTTGGAGCGGCCCGAGGCCAGGCTTGACTTGTGAGAGTTTGGTCCACCAGGCTGTTGCTTGGAGCGGCCCGAGGCCAGGCTTGACTTGTGAGAGTTTGGTCCACCAGGCTGTTGCTTGGAGCGGCCCGAGGCCAGGCTTGACTTGTGAGAGTTTGGTCCACCAGGCTGTTGCTTGGAGCGGCCCGCAGGCCCACATACCCACCACAGCCGGGCAGATCCGGCACTTTTCTTAGAAAACAATCTAGTTTCCTCATGAAGATGTCCACGGTTGTTCCGGCAATATTTCTGATGCTCGCTGGGAGGACGTTGAACAACCGCGGACCTCTGATGTTTATACAGTGTTCTCTGATTGTGCCTATGGCACCTCTGCTCTTCACTGGTTCTATTCTACATTTTCTTCCATATCGTTCACTCCAGTACGTTGTTATTTTACTGTGTAGATTTGGTACTTGGCCCTCCAGTATCTTCCAGGTGTATATTATTTGATATCTCTCTCGTCTCCCTTCCAGTGAGTACATTTGGAGAGCTTTGAGACGATCCCAATAATTTACTGATGTATATAATATTAATATTTCCTGAGTATGTATAAACCGGGAGAACGATGTATACATATTGTGCACTTTGCATACCAATATGTTAAAAATCAATAGTATTTAAGCCATAAAATATACCTCATACAATGAATACGTTTTCGTTCACGTTTTCTTTTTTGCTTGTAGGATAGACTAAAGTAGATTCGCCCTTCTAATTATTTTTTTCTCCCATGTTTTGCAGTGGGTGGAGGAGAGCTTCACGCAGTTCGAGAACGGCATCAACTGGAGGTCTTACGTGGTTTGTGACGTGGCCTACAACAATGTCAACAACTGGTTGTGGACGCCATTCATTGAACGAGGACCAGCTAATCGCATGTACATTGAGGTCAAATTCTCCATGCGAGACTGCTCGCTGTTTCCCGGGACTGCTCTCTCCTGTGAGTATTCCAGTGTGTGTGTGTGTGGTTGTGTGTGTGTGGTTGTGTGTGTGTGGGTGTGTATGTGTGTGTGTGTGGGTATGTGTGTGTGTGGGTATGTGTGTGTGTGTGTGGGTATGTGTGTGTGTGTGGGTATGTGTGTGTGTGGGTATGTGTGTGTGTGTGGGTATGTGTGTGTGTACTCACCTATATGTGCTTGCAGGATCGAGCATTGACTCTTGGATCCCGCCTTTCGAGCATCGGTTGTTTACAGCAATGACTCCTGTCCCATTTCCCTATCATACCTGGTTTTAAAATTATGAATAGTATTTGCTTCCACAACCTGTTCCTGAAGTGCATTCCATTTCCCCACTACTCTCACGCTAAAAGAAAACTTCCTTACATCTCTGTGACTCATCTGAGTTTCAAGCTTCCATCCATGTCCTCTCGTTCTGTTACTATTCCGTGTGAACATTTCGTCTATGTCCACTCTGTCAATTCCTCTGAGTATCTTATACGTTCCTATCATGTCCCCCTCTCCCTTCTTCTTTCTAGTGTCGTAAGGCACAGTTCCCTCAGGCGCTCTTCATACCCCATCCCTCGTAGCTCTGGGACGAGTCTCGTTGCAAACCTCTGAACCTTTTCCAGTTTCATTATATGCTTCTTCAGATGGGGACTCCATGATGAGGCGGCATACTCTAAGACTGGCCTTACGTAGGCAGTGTAAAGCGCCCTAAATGCCTCCTTACTTAGGTTTCTGAATGATGTTCTAACTTTTGCCAGTGTAGAGTACGCTGCTGTCGTTATCCTATTAATATGTGCCTCAGGAGATAGATTAGGTGTTACGTCCACCCCCAGGTCTCTTTCACGCGTCGTTACAGGTAGGCTGTTCCCTTCATTGTGTACTGTCCCTTTGGTCTCCTATCTCCTAGTCCCATTTCCATAACTTTACATTTGCTCGTGTTGAATTCTAGTAGCCATTTCTCTGACCATCTCTGCAATCTGTTCAGGTCCTCTTGGAGGATCCTGCAATCCTCATCTGTCACAACTCTTCTCATCAACTTTGCATCATCCGCAAACATCGACATGTAGGACTCTACGCCTGTAAACATGTCGTTAACATATACAAGAAATAGAATTGGTCCCAGCACCGATCCTTGTGGTACTCCACTTGTTACTGTTCGCCAGTCCGACTTCTCGCCCCTTACCGTAACTCTTTGGCTCCTTCCTGTTAGGTAGTTCCTTATCCATTCTAGGACCTTTCCCCCCACCCCCGCCTGCCTCTCGAGCTTGAACAGCAGTCTCATGTGCGGTACTGTATCAAAGGCTTTTTGGCAGTCCAGAAATATGCAGTCTGCCCAACCATCTCTGTCCTGTCTTATCCTCGTTATTTTATCATAGAATTCCAGAAGGTTGTTAGGCACGATTTCCCTGTCCAGAACCCATGTTGATGTTTGTTCACAAACCTAATGTTCTCCAGGTGTGCAACCAGTCGTAGCCTAATTATTCTTTCCAGTATTTTACAGGGGATGCTTGTCAGTGATACAGGTCTGTAGTTAAGTGCCTCCTCCCTATCTCCTTTCTTGAAGATCGGCACGACATTTGCCTTCTTCCAGCAACTGGGCAATTCTCCTGACATAAGTGACTCATTAAAGATCATTGCCAGAGGCACACTGAGGGCCTGTGCTGCTTCTTTTAGTATCCACGGTGATACTTTGTCTGGTCCAACTGCTTTAGTTGCATCTAGAGTTGTCAACTGTTTCATTACCTCCTCTGCTGTCACCTCTATATCTGATAGTCTTTCATCTAGGGTAACCCCTTCCAACAATGGGAGCTGCTCAGGCTCGGTAGTGAACACTCCATGGAAACTGGCATTCAGTGCCTCGCAGATTTCCTTGTCACTTTCAGTATATGCCCCCTCTGTCTTCCTTAGTCTTGTCACTTGGTCGTTCACCGACATTTTTCTTCTTATATGACTGTGTAGTAACTTAGGTTGTTTTTTCGCTTTGATTGCAATATCGTTCTCATAGTCCCTTTCCGATGTTCGTCTTATGTTAATGTAATCGTTCCTAGCTCTGTTGTATCTGCTTCTGTTGTCCTCTGTTCTTTGTCTTCTGTACTTCCTCCACTCCCGCCTGCTGGCCATTTTTGCTTCCTGACACTGTCTATTAAACCATGGGTTATTATATTCCTTCTTATTTTTTCCCTTTACCGTTGGTATAAATCTCTCTTCGGCCTCCTGGCCTTTCTGTATGACTAGGTCCATCATATCTTGGACTGTTTTTCCTCTAATTTCTTCCTCCCACTGCACTTCACCCAGATAGTCCCTTATCCTCATATAGTCCCCTTTCCTGTAGTCAGCTCTCCTTTCCCAGATCTCTTGTCCCATGGTCATAATTTTGAATTCCATCATGTAGTCAAAGACTAGGACACAATGGTCACTGGCCCCTAGAGGTATTTCTCACATACCCACACACAGAACTACGTTCTGTGTGTGGGTATGTGTGTGTGTGTGGGTGTGCGGGTGTGTGTGGGTGTGTGGGGGTGTGCGGGTGTGTGTGGGTGTGCGGTTGTGTGTGGGTGTGTGTGTGTGTGTGGGTGTGTGTGCGTGTGTGCGTGTGTGGGGGTGTGTGTGGGGGTGTGTGGGTGGGTGTGTGTGGGTATGTGGGTGTGTGTGGGTATGTGTGTGTGTGTGGGTATGTGGGTGTGTGTGGGTGTGTGTGTGTGTGGGTGTGTGTGCGTGTGTGCGTGTGTGGGTGTGTGTGTGGGGGTGTGTGGGTGGGTGTGTGTGGGTATGTGGGTGTGTGTGTGTATGTGTGTGTGTGGGTATGTGGGTGTGTGTGGGTATGTGTGTGTGTGTGGGTATGTGGGTGTGTATGGGTATGTGTGTGTGTGTGGGTGTGCGGGTGTGTGTGGGTATGTGTGTGGGTATGTGGGTGTGGGTGTGTGGGTGTGTGTGGGTGTGTGCGTGTGTGGGTGTGTGGGGGGTGTGAGTGTGGGTGTGTGTGTGTGTGTGTGTGTAATTACCTAAGTGTAATTACCTAAGTGTAGTTACAGGATGAGAGCTACGCTCGTGGTGTCCCGTCTTCCCAGCACTCTTTGTCATATAACGCTTTGAAACTACTGACGGTCTTGGCCTCCACCACCTTCTCACTTAACTTCTCACTTAACGTGTGTGTGTGTGTGCGTGTGTGTGTGCGCGCGCGCGCGTGCGTGCGTGTTTTAATTGCTTGGACATGTTCTCGCATGATTATCTACTTTATTCCCTACTTCAAAAGTAGAGTGTAAGTTAATACTTCAAAAAGTAGTATTAAGTGCTAGAGTTAGAGGTAAGATACAAAACTCCTCGTCTTAACCTTCCCTTAACTCTTCCCCTAACCACCACCCACTCTACCTAGTATCATAACTTAAGAGGAGAGAAACAGCAGGGGAGAGGGGACATGATCACTATATATAAATTACTGAAGGAAGCAGGTAAGGTGGGCAAAGACAAGTCTCTTTAAATTGAAAACAATACATATTGGTCAGCTGGACACGGGCTGAAGCTGGAAGCACAAATGAGGCATACGCTAAGTAGTATACATGTCCTGTATGTATACTGTATGTACTGAGCACAAAGAGCTAGAACTAGCATTAAAGTGGTCTAGAATAGGTAAGCGATGATAGGTAATAACAAGCTGATTAACTGGGACTGAACAAACCAAGACGTTGAAGAACTGTGCTGAGAAGAACAACTACATAATTGTAAAATGGGAGCCGGTCGGCCGAGCGGACAGCACGCTGGACTTGTGATCCTGTGGTCTGGGTTCGATCCCAGGCGCCGGCGAGAAACAATGGGCAGAGTTTCTTTCACCCTATGCCCCTGTTACCTAGCAGAAATATAGGTAGCTGGGTGTTAGTCAGCTGTCGCGGGCTGCTTCCTGGGGGTGGAGGCCTGGTCGAGGACCGGGCTGCGGGGACACTAAAAGCCCCGAAATCATCTCAAGATAACCTCTCAAGATACAGAATCTTGACTTGATACAGACTTGAACCTGCTTGCTTGATACCTGGTTGATGGGGTTCTGGGAGTTCTTCTACTCCCCAAGCCCGGCCCGAGGCCAGGCTTGACTTGTGAGAGTTTGGTCCACCAGGCTGTTGCTTGGAGCGGCCCGAGGCCAGGCTTGACTTGTGAGAGTTTGGTCCACCAGGCTGTTGCTTGGAGCGGCCCGAGGCCAGGCTTGACTTGTGAGAGTTTGGTCCACCAGGCTGTTGCTTGGAGCGGCCCGAGGCCAGGCTTGACTTGTGAGAGTTTGGTCCACCAGGCTGTTGCTTGGAGCGGCCCGAGGCCAGGCTTGACTTGTGAGAGTTTGGTCCACCAGGCTGTTGCTTGGAGCGGCCCGAGGCCAGGCTTGACTTGTGAGAGTTTGGTCCACCAGGCTGTTGCTTGGAGCGGCCCGAGGCCAGGCTTGACTTGTGAGAGTTTGGTCCACCAGGCTGTTGCTTGGAGCGGCCCGAGGCCAGGCTTGACTTGTGAGAGTTTGGTCCACCAGGCTGTTGCTTGGAGCGGCCCGAGGCCAGGCTTGACTTGTGAGAGTTTGGTCCACCAGGCTGTTGCTTGGAGCGGCCCGCAGGCCCAGTGCTTCGAGAAAATAGGCACTAGCACTAAAAAACCTGTAGACGCCTTTGTCCAGGACGGATCGAAACGTCGTCGTCGTCTCATCGTCTGGTGTCTGGTTTGGTCGTCATGGGCCAGATTCACGAAGCAGTTACGCAAGCACTTACGGACGTGTACACCTTTCCTCAATCTTTGACAGCTTTGGTTACATTTATTAAATAGTTTACCAGCATGAAAACTTCCCAATCCATTGTTGTTATAGTTATAAACACCTTCCTGGTGCTTCGGAGCTCCTTAACTGTTTAATAATTGTAAACAAAGCCCCCAAAGATTGAGAAAAGATGTACTGGTTCGTAAATGCTTGCGTAACAGCTTCGTGAATCTGGCCCCATATCTTCAGCTTCGTTATTGTGACTCTTCGTCTTCAGATAAATGTTTTCAGGGAAGGAAACTGACGGAGAAGACCCGGCTAGAGCCATATGACACTGTGTCTAGATCCTAGACACTGCAATTTGATGTCGCCTTCTTGAATCACGACTAAGACCTCTGGAAGTATACTATGACCCCAGGTCTACTTGGCACACTGGTGTATGCTGCCAGCTTTCTGCTAAAGTAGCATCCCGCCAAACACACACCGAAACTACGACGTTGGTACAACGTTCGAACAAGTTTTAACACCTAACCAGTTATAACAACCAATATAGCAAGTTGTAACAACGTTCTAATACGTCATAAACACGTTAAGTCAAGATGTAACAACTTTATTACAAGTTGTAACAAGCGGAAAATAGAGACAGTTATATATACGTCTGCGTAGCCTTTATGAACTAACCTAACCCTCCCAACGTTGTGTACAACCTTCGTGAGACCCGGTCTTGAGTATGCAGCCTAGACTTGCAACATCCCCTTAACAAAACGGGTTCAGAAATATGGAACGAAATTTATTCTTAAAAGTCAAGAGGATTGAATTGCAAGGAAAAGCCGAAGGAAATAGTTCTTGCGAGAAATTATCGATGAGGACATGACAACGATATGCAAGATTCTACAGGGAATTGTAAGGTAGACAAAGATGCAGCTGTTTCGAGTGAGGAGCGGCAGTACGAAAGAGCACAAATGGGTCAGATGTCAGAAAGGGTTCATTTAGCACCAGGGTGTTGAGTACAAAAGAATGATTCGCAAGTATAATAGGCAGTGGTTGAGGCTGGCTCCACTGGAGACTGTCTCCAGGTAAGTTCCAGGTGTAGACAAAGTTCTAAAGGTCGGTATGAGAACCATATCATACCGCCCAGCATATTAAAGGTATAATGACTGGAAGGGTGGAGCTAGATCTAGATTCTGCACATGTATTTAATAGTTCTCACCACCACCACAACTCACCACCACCACCACAACTCACCACCACCACCACAACTCACCACCACCACCACAACTCACCACCAACACCTCCCCCAAACAGGCAAGGAGACCTTCTCTCTCCTCTATTACGAGTTCGATGCGGCCACGAAGGAGCCGCCGTTCTGGGAGCCAGAAAGCTACAAGCTGATCGACCGCATCGCCGCCGACGAAGGCCGCTTCACCAACTCCGCGGACATCATCATCAACGCCGAAGTCCGCTCCATCCCCGTCACGAAGAAGGGCGTCTACTTCGCCTTCAGAGACCAAGGGGCGTGCATCTCCCTCCTCGCTATCAAGGTACGTCATCTCCCGCTACTCCCATTAGAGTTTAACATGTTATTACATATTCAGTGACCAGGGTCTGAGACTCGCTATCCTATGGTCTGAGACTCGCTATCCTAAGCATTAATCACATAATTTATCCATCATTTTCAATATTATTAGCCATCATTTATTATTATGAGAATATATCTATCAACCATATGTTATTATCTACTTTTTTTGATATACTGGTTTTAGATTGTGACGAATTATCTTGGGTATAAAACATTGGATTATTTAATTGTCACTGATTATATATAATTTGTTATATTAATTACTAGTGAAGCTATTTATAAGGAAGGCTTAAATATGGGGGCTTTGTGGTACTCAAAGTCTGTGGTACACAATTAGGGCGACCCTTGGTACAATATCTGGTACCCTGGTGTACCACTCAAGCTGGGTACCATGTCTGGCAGCCTAGTTGTGTTTGTTAGATGTTTGAAGCGTCTTGAGGATATATTTGTTGCGACATGGACTACTAGACTGTTTGTGACCTTATCGTGCATGAGGTCTTAGGCTCATGTCGTAAGTCTGGGCTGTTGAGACCTCGTGGAAATCCATGTCGTGCATGAGGTCTTAGGCTCATGTCGTAAGTCTAGGCTGTTGAGACCTCGTGGAAATCCATGTCGTACATGAGGTCTTACGCTCATGTCGTAAGTCAGGGCTGTTGAGACCTCGTGGAAATCCATATCGTACATGAGGTCTTACGCTCGTGTCGTAAGTCAGGGCTGTTGAGACCTCGTGGAAATCCATATCGTACACGAGGTCTTACGCTCATGTCGTAAGTCAGGGCTGTTGAGACCTCGTGGAAATCCATATCGTACACGAGGTCTTACGCTCATGTCGTAAGTCAGGGCTGTTGAGACCTCGTGGAAATCCATATCGTACACGAGGTCTTACGCTCGTGTCGTAAGTCAGGGCTGTTGAGACCTCGTGGAAATCCATATCGTACACGAGGTCTTACGCTCATGTCGTAAGTCAGGGCTGTTGAGACCTCGTGGAAATCCATATCGTACACGAGGTCTTACGCTCATGTCGTAAGTCAGGGCTTTTGTGTACTATTTTCTCCTCTATTTCAGGTGTACTACATCACGTGTCCGGAGATCACCAAGTCGTACACACACTTCCCCACCACGCCCACGGGGGCGGAGGTGACGAGCATCGAGCAGGCGGCGGGCGTGTGCGTTGCTCACGCCCGCGAGGAGAGCTCGCCCTCCTTCCTGTGCACGGGCGACGGCCAGTGGTCCCTCCTCAACGGCGGGTGCGCGTGTCTCCCGGGGTACCAGGCCAACCTGGAGAAGCAGAGCTGCGACGGTGAGTAACCGCTCAACCGGGTTTGTTGTGGTTTTGTAGCAGAGTTTGAGGGGAACTTTTGACCGTGTTTGAAGGAATTCTACGTAGGTTTGAGGGGATTCTACGTGGGTTTGAGGGGATTCTACGTGGGTTTGAGGGGATTCTACGTGGGTTTGAGGGGATTCTACGTTGGTTTGAGGGGATTCTACGTGGGTTTGAGGGGATTCTACGTGGGTTTGAGGGGATTCTACGTTGGTTTGAGGGGATTCTACGTGGGTTTGAGGGGATTCTACGTTGGTTTGAGGGGATTCTACGTGGGTTTGAGGGGATTCTACGTTGGTTTGAGGGGATTCTACGTGGGTTTGAGGGGATTCTACGTTGGTTTGAGGGGATTCTACGTTGGTTTGAGGGGATTTACGTTGGTTTGAGAGGATTCTACGTGGGTTTGATTCTACGTTGGTTTGAGGGGATTCTACGTGGGTTTGAGGGGATTCTACGTTGGTTTGAGGGGATCTACATTGGTTTGAGGGGATTCTCCATGAGTTTGAGGGGATTCTACGTTGGTTTGAGGGGATTCTACGTTGGTTTGAGGGGATTGTACGTTAGTTTGAGGGGATTCTACGTTGGTTTGAGGGGATTCTACGTGGGTTTGAGGGGATTCTACGTTGGTTTGAGGGGATTCTACGTTAGTTTGAGGGGATTCTACGTTAGTTTGAGGGGATTCTACGTTGGTTTGAGGGGATTTACGTTGATTTGAGGGGATTCTACGTTGGTTTGAGGGGATTTACGTTGATTTGAGGGGATTCTACGTTGGTTTGAGAGGATTCTACGTTAGTTTGAGGGGATTCTACGTTAGTTTGAGGGGATTCTACGTTAGTTTGAGGGGATTCTACGTTGGTTTGAGGGGATTTACGTTGATTTGAGGGGATTCTACGTTGGTTTGAGGGGATTTACGTTGTTTGAGGGGATTCTACGTTGGTTTGAGGGATTCTACGTTAGTTTGAGGGGATTCTACGTTGGTTTGAGGGGATTCTACGTAGGTTTGAGGGGATTCTACGTTGGTTTGAGAGGATTCTACGTTAGTTTGAGGGGATTCTACGTTAGTTTGAGGGGATTCTACGTTAGTTTGAGGGGATTCTACGTTGGTTTGAGGGGATTTACGTTGATTTGAGGGGATTCTACGTTGGTTTAATGGGATTTACGTTGATTTGAGGGGATTCTACGTGGGTTTGAGGGGATTCTACGTTAGTTTGAGGGGATTCTACGTAGGTTTGTGGGGATTCTACGTTGGTTTGAGAGGATTCTACGTTAGTTTGAGGGGATTCTACGTTAGTTTGAGGGGATTCTACGTTGGCTTGAGGGGATTTACGTTGATTTGAGGGGATTCTACGTTGGTTTAATGGGATTTACGTTGATTTGAGGGGATTCTACGTTGGTTTGATTGGGATTCAAATTTGGTTCATGGGGGCTTCGTCGTGGGTTTTTTTTTTACAGTAGCGTTTGAGTTGGTTATAACACTAGCATCAGCTCCATCGTTGCCACCAGTAGCTCGGTTGTCCTTGAGGTTATCTTGAGGTTATCTTGAGATGATTTCGGGGCTTTTTAGTGTCCCCGCGGCCCGGTCCTCGACCAGGCCTCCACCCCCAGGAAGCAGCCCGTGACAGCTGACTAACACCCAGGTACCTATTTTACTGCTAGGTGAACAGGGGCATAGGGTGAAAGAAACTCTGCCCAATTGTTTCTCTAGTGCCCTCGTCTCGACCGCAGCCACGGTCACCGCTGGCGACGGCGGGCGGGACCTGTGAAGAATTCCCGCAGCTCATCACTCATCATTTATTGCGTCGGGATCATAAATTTATTTATTTCTGGTGTGGTAATGATGGCCGCGGTAAGTGTTGCTTCTGCCTGGGGGGGGGGGGGTGTTGCCCCCTGCCTGAGGGTGGAGATGGGGGGGGAGATGGGGGGTGTTTCCCCCTGTCTGAGGGTGGGGAGGGGGGGGGGGGGGGTGTTGCCCCCTGCCTGAGGGTGGGGAGGGGGGGGGGAGATGGGGGGGTGTTTCCCCCTGTCTGAGGGTGGGGAGGGGGGGGGTGTTGCCCCCTGCCTGAGGGTGGGGAGGGGGGGGAGATGGGGGGGTGTTTCCCCCTGGTCTGAGGGTGGGGAGGGGGGGGGGGGTGTTGCCCCCTGCCTGAGGGTGGGGAGGGGGGGGGGAGATGGGGGGGTGTTTCCCCCTGTCTGAGAGTGGGGAGCGGGGGTCCACTATCGCCCACAGGATGGCTATGGGGTTCACTATAGGTCACAGGATGGCTGTGGGGTCCACTATAGGTCACAGGATGGCTGTGGGGTCCACTTTCGGCCACAGGATGGCTGTGGGGTCCACTGTCGCCCACAGGATGGCTGTGGGGTCCACTATCACCCACAGGATGGCTGTGGGGTCCACTATCGCCCACAGGATGGCTGTGGGGTCCACTATAGCCCACAAGATGGCTGTGGGGTCCACTATAGCCCACAAGATGGCTGTGGGGTCCACTATAGCCCACAGGATGGCTGTGGGTCCACTATAGCCCACAGGATGGCTGTGGGGTCCACTATCGCCCACAGGATGGCTGTGGGGTCCACTATCGCCCACAGGATGGCTGTGGGGTCCACTATCGCCCACAGGATGGCTGTGGGGTCCACTATCGCCCACAGGATGGCTGTGGGGTCCACTATCGCCCACAGGATGGCTGTGGGGTCCACTATCGCCCACAGGATGGCTGTGGGGTCCACTATAGCCCACAGGATGGCTGTGGGGTCCACTATAGCCCACAGGATGGCTGTGGGGTCCACTGTCGTCCACAAGATGGCTGTGGGGTCCACTATCGCCCACAGGATGGCTGTGGGGTCCACTATCGCCCACAGGATGGCTGTGGGGGTCCACTATCGCCCACAGGATGGCTGTGGGGTCCACTATCGCCCACAGGATGGCTGTGGGATCCACTATCGCGCACAGGATGGCTGTGGGGTCCACTATCGCTCACAGGATGGCTGTGGGGTCCACTATCGCCCACAGGATGGCTGTGGGGTCCACTATCGCCCACAGGATGGCTGTGGGGTCCACTATCGCTCACACGATGGCTGTGGGGTCCACTATAGCCCACAGGATGGCTGTGGGGTCCACTATCGCCCACAGGATGGCTGTGGGGTTCACTATCGCCCACAGGATGGCTGTGGGGTCCACTATCGCCCACAGGATGACTGTGGGGTCCACTATCGCCCACAGGATGGCTGTGGGGTCCACTATAGCCCACAGGATGGTTGTGGGGTCCACTATCGCTCACAGGATGGCTGTGGGGTCCACTATCGCCCACAGGATGGCTGTGGGGTCCACTGTCGTCCACAGGATGGCTGTGGGGTCCACTATAGCCCACAGGATGGCTGTGGGGTCCACTATCGCCCACAGGATGGCTGTGGGGTACACTATAGCCCACAGGATGGCTGTTGGGTCCACTATCGCCCACAGAATGGCTGTTGGGTCCACTATAGCCCACAGGATGGTTGTGGGGTCCACTACTCGCCCACAGGATGGCTGTGGGGTCCACTATAGCCCACAGGATGGCTGTGGGGGTCCCACTATCGCCCACAGGATGGCTGTGGGGTCCACTATCGCCCACAGGATGGCTGTGGGGTCCACTATCGCCCACAGGATGACTGTGGGGTCCACTATCGCCCACAGGATGGCTGTGGGGTCCACTATAGCCCACAGGATGGTTGTGGGGTCCACTATCGCTCACAGGATGGCTGTGGGGTCCACTATCGCCCACAGGATGGCTGTGGGGTCCACTGTCGTCCACAGGATGGCTGTGGGGTCCACTATAGCCCACAGGATGGCTGTGGGGTCCACTATCGCCCACAGGATGGCTGTGGGGTACACTATAGCCCACAGGATGGCTGTTGGGTCCACTATCGCCCACAGAATGGCTGTTGGGTCCACTATAGCCCACAGGATGGTTGTGGGGTCCACTAATCGCCCACAGGATGGCTGTGGGGTCCACTATAGCCCACAGGATGGCTGTGGGGGTCCCACTATCGCCCACAGGATGGCTGTGGGGTCCACTATCGCCCACAGGATGGCTGTGGGGTCCACTATAGCCCACAGGATGGCTGTGGGGTCCACTATAGCCCACAGGATGGCTGTGGGGTCCACTATAGCCCACAGGATGGCTGTGGGGTCCACTATAGCCCACAGGATGGCTGTGGGGTCCACTATAGCCCACAGGATGGCTGTGGGGTCCACTATCGCTCACAGGATGGCTGTGGGGTCCACTATAGCCCACAGGATGGCTGTTGGGTCCACTATCGCCCACAGGATGGCTGTGGGGTCCACTATCGCCCACAGGATGGCTGTGGGGTACACTATAGCCCACAGGATGGCTGTTGGGTCCACTATCGCCCACAGAATGGCTGTTGGGTCCACTATAGCCCACAGGATGGTTGTGGGGTCCACTAATCGCCCACAGGATGGCTGTGGGGTCCACTATAGCCCACAGGATGGCTGTGGGGTTCACTATCGCCCACAGGATGGCTGTGGGGTCCACTATCGCCCACAGGATGACTGTGGGGTCCACTATCGCCCACAGGATGGCTGTGGGGTCCACTATAGCCCACAGGATGGTTGTGGGGTCCACTATCGCTCACAGGATGGCTGTGGGGTCCACTATCGCCCACAGGATGGCTGTGGGGTCCACTGTCGTCCACAGGATGGCTGTGGGGTCCACTATAGCCCACAGGATGGCTGTGGGGTCCACTATCGCCCACAGGATGGCTGTGGGGTACACTATAGCCCACAGGATGGCTGTTGGGTCCACTATCGCCCACAGAATGGCTGTTGGGTCCACTATAGCCCACAGGATGGTTGTGGGGTCCACTATAGCCCACAGGATGGCTGTGGGGTCCACTAATAGCCCACAGGATGGCTGTGGGGGTCCCACTATCGCCCACAGGATGGCTGTGGGGTCCACTATCGCCCACAGGATGGCTGTGGG